CTACCCTGATGTTAAGTTCATACCCCGGTGCAGCTGAATCTACCAAGAGCTAGCTGAACTAAGATCTACCCTGATGTCAAGCTATCAAGAGCTCAGCAGGGTTACCATAATCAGAACTCTGTGCTCCCCAGACCATGCTGAAAAAGGTTGACCCAGTGTTGTTGCTGGCTAATTCTTGATCCATATATTTATATTTAACCACACCTAGCAAACAGCGTCATAGAGATCCCTCGGTGCTAGGATGCTGCTTGCTTTTCTCTCCATTCAATGCTGCATACATACGCAGCATTCGCCTTCCTGAATCACCTCCCAACATGTGCATGTTTGATTGACCATGATTCGCCACCCTCCCATAGGCCCAAAGCTCCTCGCCCACTTCACATGCTTGGAGGCCAGCAGTCTCCAACGGCCTGCGGAAAAGATGGCCACGGGTGATGATGGGCATCTTTTGGGAAGTGGAGGAAACTGGGTCCAACGATCCCAACTTCGATCTTAATATTGATTTCCGCTTCAAGATTCTTCAAGTCATGCCACAGGCGCTCCAAGGAGTCGAAATCGTAGGAGTTAAGGAGATGTTGACTTGCGTGAGGTGGAGATTTGTGCATGGGCCAATCGAGACTCCAGGCTGAGATCAACATGGTGCGACACATGCCGTGCCTCCTCGCTTAAACCTGCAGGCAGTGCATTCTGCAGGGCATAAGCTGGCTTTGTGTATATGTGCCCCAGTTGAGGTCACAGAACAGTGGGCCATGCAGAAGATGCCAAAATCATTGACAGAATGATCATGAAAGATATAGAGAAACTAGTAGAGAAACGAATCATCATGGATTGCAGGAAATGTTCTCGTTGGACTTGTCGTCACTTGATAAAATCATCCACGGATCAGGGACCAGGGTTGCAGCTAACTTCCACGGATCCTTTTCCCCACCTCAAGATCCTTCAAATCTGCACCGGCTGGCGCCATGTTGGAGCCCATCGCTGCTCCGCCGGGCGCACCCTGGGGCCTCCGTGCTCGCTCCCTGAGCCCTCCGCGCGCGCCGCGCGCCGTGTCCCCACAACGGCTCATGGTGGTTCCAATGCTCTCCCCAAGAAGGGCCCCAGCGCCCTGGCAGCCGCAGATCCTGCAGCCAGCGCCTGGCTTTTACCCGGTGACTAGCCCAGCGCTCCAGCCGTTGTCGCCGGCGCAGTCGGTGCCAGCGCAGCTGCCAGTGCCTTCTCCGGTGCCAGCACAGCCGGTGCCGATACAGCCAGTGCCCCTGCAGACTTTGGTTCAATCAGTCTCCAGCCCCTGCATGGCACAGGGGCCTCCAGTGCTGATCTCACCTAGAGGTGCTCCCCCCCAGGCTGGGAGGGACAATTGAGGTTGCGCTCGCTGCACTGTGTGGTGAGGGGGAAGATCAAAAAAAGAACTCTAAGAAGTGTAAAGATCTGAACTCACATTCCGTTGGCAGAAGCGGGTTGTGACTTTTGAGCGAAGACGCGAAGACACGAAGACACGAAGAGGCTTCAGGTCTTCAAGGCTTCAGGCTTCAGGTCGTCACTAGGCGTCAGGTCGTCAGCAGGGCTTCAGGTCGTCACCAGGCTTCATGTCTTCAGAGGAAAATCACCCGGGACTGCCAACACACTGAGAACTCATTTGGGGGTTGCCCCCTTGATTTTGTACCCGGTCCGGCACCGAACGTGTGGTGCTTATTTTGCAAATGTGTCGAACTCCCTATGATTGACCTTTTTCCGACCCCGGTGGTAATAATGGTACATGATTGTTCTGTTGGTGTTTGTGCGGAATGGGCTGGGGATGATTCTGCTCGAGTCGCAGCAGAGTCTGGACGAGTCTCGACATGTCGAGACCCCACCGCCGCGGACCCTGGAGGGAGCGACCGTCTGAGGCGGAAGTCAATGGAGCTTTCTCGCGCGCAACGAGCTTTGAATTTGTTTGCTGCTTGTGTCAAAGAGCTTTTAATCCAAACTATATGTACTTGAACCCCTGGCCATGCGCCAACCAAAGAGCGGGATTTGTGTGGCCAATTGTTCTGGGAACGTTTTGAGAACCTTAATATATATGAGCCACGGTCAAAACATGCGAAGACCACTTTAGTAAAGAGGGGTAGGTTTGTGCACAAAACCCTGCAAAACGATAAGGTCCACCTCAAAACCGATAACCCCAGCGCTGTATATGATCAAAAGTATGCGACGAACTCAAAACGCTGTAAAACGATAAGGTCCAACTCAAAACCGATGACGTCCATTTTTTAGTTGAAGAAGAATAAGGAGTTTTGACCGTCCCTCATATATATATATATAGATGTATATACAGGTTGCAAAAAAACACCCACAAAACAATGTGCCAACAAAAACTCTTCTGTATGCCCCATGAAGCATATTCATTACCCAGCGTTCCTATGTCAACCACCCTGAACTTGCGGCATCTATGCATTCATCATGAGTCACTTGGTCATGTGGTTGCGAACTGCACCAACACGCACAGTTTCCGACCCAGCGAGTTGGTATTTTGCATGTGACCAACCGCGTTTGAGTGTAGAGTGAACAAGCGTAGTAGTTTTTGTTTTATTGTTTTTCCGGTGCAGGCGGCCCATCGCTGTTTCTTTACCTTGATCCGCAGTTGTTATCACAGTATTATTCCTCACATGTTTGGTGCAATGCGCCAGGGGCCGCTGCTGGGGCCGCTGGTGCCTGGAAACCAACCTTCCTCACCCGAACGTGCCTGGCGCGCCGCGCCACCTCCGCTTGCGTGTGGTGCACCTTGCGCGGAGCCGGTGGCCGTCGGGCAGGTCGGATCACCACAGAATCTTGGGCTGGGGTGAGGGGAACAAAATGGGAGAATGGGGGTTCTGGGGAGTTTTGGTTCATCAATCACCTCGTTGAATTTTCTTGGCTCTTGAAAATGTGTGTTGAGCCTTTGTCGTTTTTTCTGGGGTCTTGTTATGCGTGTTTTAGGGTCTTAACTTTCACTTCATTGTTTGGATTGAATGAAGGGGATAATTGTTGAGGTGGTCAGAGTTTCTATGTGTAGGTTCAGGTTCAAACTCTACCAAGCTGTTCTTCAAAGATGTTGAATTTTTTGTTTCAAATTCATGTATTGATTGAGGTTAGGCGCTGTAGTTCCTGTTTGGTTTGCATATCAAGCATCCTTCAATCCAAAGCCACTTTGGCACAAATTGACTGAACCGATGCATTGTCCTTTTTCTTTGACATTCCGCAGACCCCCAAACGACCGGAAACACGGTGGACGGCAGATTAATGTGTAGTTTAATGTGTTTTGGGCATTGCGGTTTTCTTCGAAAACAACCACATGCCGCTGACGAAAGCAAGAAAAGATGGGGAAGTGGAAAACACATGGCACACTATAATAGTATATTTGATTATATTTGCAATTTGCATATATATATATATAGTGCATTGAGTTGTTGGGCATTATCAGGATCGACATCCAGAGGAAACCGTAAAGTTTCATGTTTGTCGTATACTGTTTGTGCAATGGAACATCGCGACCTCAACTGCCTATCATTTCACGATAAGCAACTAGACTCGACTCGGAAACGACTTCCAATACAAACTTGGACCTGGAGGACTTTGGGATTTGCAGCTGCCTCGGCCGAGGAATCCTCACCGCCTCATGCAAAGCAATGGCTCAGCACCACTGATCCACAGCATTTACAGCCCTCGGCCAGAAGCGAATGTCAACTACTTGGCTGCGAGCACCTTCGGCCGCAGTGGGTGGGTGGGAGTTGGGTTTCTTGGAAGTGCTGTGGAAGATACTCTCCTCAGTGAATGCAACACTTTGAGGTGTCCTGAGGGCAATTCAGCTTGACCACCGAAAAAATGGTTATCGTTTTGGATGTTCAGACGCAAACTAAGTGACAGTGGCCAGCTGGCTGGCCTCCCTGAATGATTAATGGTTCCCTTGGCTTGGAGGAAAGAACTGGAGAGAGCCAGCGTAAGGTGACAACATCATATCCGTATTTTCCCGGTCCCCGAAAAGAGCGCTCGTACCAACCCAGTGTCTGGCACACAGCGCAACCGTTGATGAACCTCATTTGGTTTATAATAACCCGATGCCCTATACATCCCAGGCAAAAGAAATCAATCGGTTCTTAGTACCTCATCCACTGATATCCACTTGTCATACCTGAAAGGAAGTTGGACTTTCTCATGATTTTTCCTATAGTAGATACTGATGGACTGATGGTCTTCCAAACCCTTATTATTTACAGTATATTTCACCACCCCAGCAATGTCCATGTCCTCGGTGAAACTAGGTCACGAGTCCTTGGCACAGCAGATCAAGGCCTTGCAGGCGGCATCGGAAGGGGACATGGGTCGTCGAAGAAAAAGACTGGGCATCGGAAGGGGCATTGAACATCACCTAGGCAGCTGGCGTTGTTGTTTCCGTACAGACCAGCCTTTGCTTGATTTAGGAGAAGGAAGGAACGTTCGGAAGTTCTTCGTGTCACTCCAGAATACTGCATTCAAGTGAGTGCCAACACTTTTGATACAACGAAGCCCCTCTACCAGACCCTGCCTGGTACCGGATAATAAACAAGAACTCCAACGTGGGCTGATGATGCGTTTCTTCCCGATTGGGCGGCACACACCAAGTTGTTGAGCTGAATATAGTATGTGAAATTAGCAAAAAACGTTTTTGTTGGAATCACCCACATGTTCATGTTATTAATGCCTACAGCTTGGAATGCATACAGCTGTTTTCATATGAATGCCAGTATGAATGCCTACAGCTTGGAATCACCCACATGTTCATGCTGGATGTCGACGATATGGAAGTGGAACATGGTCATTGTTTGGTCTTCGGAGGTCATGGTCATTCAAGGGCCCATACCATCCACTGCCCATCATTCTTTCATATGGGTGTGAATTAGCATAGGGAGAGATTAAGCAGACTAAATCCATTGGGCGCATTAAATTACAAATCCCATGTGCTTTCACGGAGTCTACTCCCTAATCAGCGTCAGCACCAACATCCTCCAAGCGACTCAGTTGGCCCCCGGATGTTCGAGGCACAGCGCACCGCTGTGGAGATCGCTCAGCCTGAGAAGCCGTTGAACCTGTGACTTGTTTTCCAGAGCAGGGGTGTGAAGTCACAACTGAATGCTAGATGGATTGCTGTGGGAATCTTCAAAGGTACATCAGGGTGAAGACGGATGGTTTCAATATGTTTCAATCACATCTATCCGGATCATTGGATTGCTGCGGCCATTTGTGGGTGTTTGGCCATTTTGTGGCTGCCCTGCTGTAGGCACCCTGTCAAGATTCAAATTCCTGAACATGCACAATATCATCCAGACGAATCATGCTGTCCCAAAACGGGATTTACAAAATGGCACCAGCTCCAAGCACGTACTGAGCGCAAACTCGTGCATCCTGGTTCAGCCATCAGGTTTTGGCCGGGGAGCGGTTTGGAGTAACAAAGTGAATCTACCTGTAGCTGATCGCAGAGAAAAGCAACTCACCGAGCAGTTTGATGGGCCCTCACCAATTAATCTTTGAGATCGCCACTCCAACTCTTGGCCGCGATACGCCATGCTAGTTATAGTGTGAACTATAGGAAGCTTAACCACTAGCTTCTGGGAAGCTTAACCACTAGCTTCTGGAGGAACATCGCTGCCTTCCACAGCTGTGCACATGGTGCATGGAGGCAGCAGGCAGTTACCCTCTTGCACCTCTACCAGTTCAAGCAGCACCCTGCCTCTCACCTCTCATTCTTCTCACCCGGCGGCTTCGCCCCGCCCCGCCCCGGTCCGGGGCAGTCCGATTCCCGTCCTCAGACGTCTCCCCGTCTCCGGCTCTGCGGGTCTCCCCGTCTCAGGCAGGAAGCCCTGCGTCGATGGCCTAGTCCAGAGAGCCCGGAATCCATCGAGCAGCTGCTGCGCCAGGTGACGGCGGATTGGACGAAATTCTTACACGGAGGGGGTCGCAGGTGACGTGCATGGTGTGTGTTTGTGTGTGTTGGGACTGAAAGAGGTGACGTACAATGGTGTTTGAGTCCAATGTTGAACACCTTAAAACTTCTTCAGGTGTTTGGGTGAGCTTTTGCTGCAAGCTCAGGTGAACTTGATCAGTTTGCAAGGGCAACTGACCATGTTGGTCGCCACGTCGGTGGCTTGAGACCAGAATGGTCCGATGTCCTATATAATGTTGGCTGTTTATTCTTCAAATCCCTTCCATATGGAGATGCAAAACGATGCAAAAACTATTCGTGCAGGCGAAGTTTATCAATCAACATGTATATAGATTCATAGATCTTCCCTGTACCCACCCAGAACATTGTCCGATCATCGGTTCCGGGATCATCTTCGATGATTTACACCAGGGTGAGGTACAGCAAGCTCCCAATCATGTCGTCAAGCTGTTTTCGGTCAGGACACACCCTGGACACTGCAAGGTATAGTGACCAATAGCTGGACTGCGAATAGAAAAACAACATTTACCATTGACCTGGGCGCGCCCTCCCTTCCCCGCTGCACCTCGCCGTTCGTCCAGGAGGAGCTGGAGCTCAGCGAGGTGCCTGAGGCAGAAGGGATCACGGCTCAGTCTTAGGAGCAGTTCTGAATTCTGTGTTGGATATTGAGGGGCAGCATGAGTTCCTCATGCACCATGAGTTCTTGAATATTCTGGTCTTCCATGGTGAGAAGCTAACATGTTAATTTCGAGTAGTGCCAGGCAATTCCTTTGTAACGGGGGTGTGCGACGCCATATGACGCCATACTACATATACTATAAGTACTGCAACAGTAACACATGGTCCAAAGGTGCTAAGGAATCTTGACCCTAAAGCTCCAAATATGGTAACTTGTTTTGTCAAACATTTTGTCTCCTGCTGAGGAGGTAGGGTGCATCCACTTTGCATGACCTGCTGGTAGATCGACACGAGTGTGGCTCAAGGCTCAATCCATCTCAAACCTTGGCAGTCATTTACAGTAATACATGATTTATGCACATATACTGGGGCGCACTTAAAGATGTCAAAATTTCATTCCTGCACTTAATAATAATTGCTGCTGGGACCGCAGCTCGGAAGTACTCAATGATGAATCCAATAAAATCAATAAATAACATTAAAACCCGAATAGAAAAGGTGGGTTAACCTGCCCATGGGACAAGGGTAAAGCAAAGGAGACCCTCATGCAACCAAACCGGAGATCTGTCATGCAGCCAAACGGTCCTGTAGCCGTAAAGTTCACTTCTGGTTGTTAAATGAACAATCGGTCAGGCAGCCAGGCTTGACGCCCCTCTCTCTCCTACTCTCTCCTTTGATAGTGGACCATCTCCCCCAATTCGAACTTAGAATTGAACATAATTAACCTTTTCAAAAAGGTGCATACCGGCACTTAAGGAAATCACCTCAGTAGTGACAGGGCTTGGTATGCCCTCCCCTTAGTGCAGTCGGTAGCGCTACCGACTGCAGTAAGCCTCCATGTGATTTCCTTAAGTGCAGGTGAAAATAATTCAGGGATGCTTAAATCAATGCAAAAACCATGCCCCATTGATTGGGAGCCATGGGCTTACTGAGGTCGGTAGCGCTACCGACCTCCCTAAGGGGGGGGTATGGCATGCCCTCCCCTTACTGCACTGATTTCCTTAAGTGCAGCTTCATTTTGAAAATAAATAGTTTCAATCAGGGTGACCAGCAAGAAAAAACCATGTCATCCGCCGAAAGTCCAAACAGGGGTCAGAGACTTGATTTTCCACATGTTCTAGAGAATCATATCCTTGCTTGAATGTGTAGACAGAGATTCAATGGCAGCACTGCTGCTGTAATTTTGTACGGATGGTACTAAAGAGCACATGCTTGTTCCATGCCCTACCGAATCACAACGGGTCCTAAAGACAGAAAGCTGTGACTTCACGGGGTGCCCTACGTTTGGGGGGTTCAAGCCAGACATCTCATAGGGATATTTAAACATTTCAAAAATAAGGGAAGTAATTTTTTGACTTTGTTAAGTGCAGGGCAGTATGATATGCATTTTGTTTCTTTTCAGCATGCTGTCCGTGGATTCGCAAGCCGTGTCAAGCCCACCAGACTCTCTTTCGTCTCCAGGCCGACGCCGACTCGGTGTCCGCGGAGCCGGAGGAGCAGCAGCTGGAACCGGAAGAGCCGGAGCTGCCGGTCTCAACGGAGCACGTGCTACCCGCGCTGCCAGCACAGGAGCGCGTCAAGGTGCGGAGTTGATGCGGATGAGGGAGGAGAAAGTGGGATGCAATGGGTGACACGGTATGACTACTATAGATGGGCCTTAGAAGGTGAACCAACCCCCCAAAAACATGGATGATTATTGGGCGCTTCTCTTCCAAGTATTTTACCATTTCTGGTCGTTGTGTTTGGTCATCCGGCGAGGCCACCTCTGCCTTGACCAGCTCGAGCTCGTCCCGTGCGAAGCGGAATGCCTCTCGCGCGCGGCGGCTGACGATGATGCCCGAGTTTCAGGCGGTCCACATAGCTATCCTGTCAGTGGAATGTCAGAAAGAAACTGGTCTGGAGGAACTCAGCGTCCCACTTCCAGTGGATCACCAAGCTTTTTGTGGGAGGCTGGAGAAGGGTGAAGCTGGTCCTACGAAACTGACGGAGATCTAACCATCCAAGATACACATGACCAGATAGATGGTTTGGGAAGGAGCCAAGGAGCAATATCAGATCACCTTTTCAGGGAACAGCCAAGGAGCTACAGAAGTTCCTAACCACTGAGGGGTATAGCTTGCTTTCGAGTCCTTTGGACGCCAAACACCGGCGGAAGATATCAAGCTTCCAATTTCCAATGGTTTTTTTGATGGCGGATCCATGCCTCTCCTTGATGGGTCAGTGTCCTTGCAGCCCCCTCCGAAGCTTGGCCAATAGATTCCCCCACTTTCAGGCCCACAGCAGCACCGCTTCAGATCAAGCTCACCCCGGCAAGTGTGCCGTTGATGGAAGGAATCCAATATGCTGCAAGTCACGAAAGGTTTTTGGTTGTTCTCCATCTCACAGTTGGTTTTAAGTTAACTCTTACAAGTCATAAGTCATAAGTATAACTATACTTACCCCCTTCCTTCCCACAGGAGGAGGCTGCTCGCTGCCGCGCGCAGCTGCAGAAGGCCTCACTGAACGTCTCGGCCAAGCACCTCCGAGAGCTTCGCCAGTTGCGGCGGCCCCCGCGTCAGGCGATGCGTGGGCGCACGCTGTCCATGGGGGGAGGGTCAATCACTGGAAGGAAAATCACTTCCGTCAGGTGTTTCTGATTGGATCTTGCAAGTGTGCTTAAGCGGCCTGGGTCCCTGGGTCCTATTTCCGTTGCCATGTCTTTTGCTCAAGTTGGGTTGGTATGGGTTGGTGTTCCAGCTGCCAGCGGAGGGAAATAGTTTCTTCTCTCAACCAGTTGTTTTCTTCCCGACGATGACAACACCTTGATCTATTACATATCTCAGAAGATCCATGTATATAAGCAAATAGGGCCGACATGACTGGTTTTTGGTGGCTGAGGAGGTCCTATTTGGACCCACCATGGGATCATCGAACGCGTGACTGTCCAACCCTTCCCTTCCAGTTCGGAGCAGCAGCCGCGAAACGGTTGAACCCTTCGGGACACGGGCCCAGTAGCTCTGTCGGCGTCCCAGTAGCTCAGTCGGGCCGACTCGAAGTCGCTGGAAGTAGCTGGGCCCAACCACTGTTTGACGTCAGGTGGCACAGATTCTGGATACTGTGGCTCTACTCCTGGGGGAAAAATGCGGCAACAAGGCCAGGTAGGGCTTCTCGAGAGGGCCAGGTTTGATCTCACATGTGTGTGCATGTGCAGTGGATCCGTCTTTGAAGTCCATATCGCGGTTGTCCCAGTTAATATTCCACATGAATCCAAACACGTGCTATTCGTTGCTATCCAAACACGTGCTAGCGCAAAGACTGTAGATACCGGCAAACCTGCCAAAGACGGTACCACCTCTGAATGCAACAGCTCGGACGATTCAATTGTCAGAGTGACTTCTCGGGTCACACCCCTTCATCCAACCCAGCTTGGCTTTGTTCAAAAAATGCCGCTTGTTCAAACATTCAACAGAACCAATTTCACGTAATGTCACGCGCCACACGTTCACACAATGTCATGCAAAGTTCACGCGCTTTGATGTGTCACGGACAACGCATGTTCATGCCTGCCACAGGGTGCACCATGGTGGACCCAGTCTGTTCCAATGCATCCTTCCCAGCCGACGATGTTCCATACACATTCTTTGGCACAAAGTATGTGAATAGCAACATTTCTCACCAAACACGTACATCCTGGATGATTGGCCGGGTATACAGATATACATGACAGTTTGTCAGGGATTGCTAAGGTGGTTCCAATATGTTTCCATAGATTTGATGCATGCTACCTCGAGACATTGTTGGCAGCCATCCGCCTTGTTTGGGATGAACATCTGACCAACATCCTGGCCTTTTTGGGTAGCCCCTTTCAGGGCTACAACTGGCAGAAGATGCTCTCAGACTCCCTGCCGCAGCGTTTGAGCGACTTCGACGTGGCTGCCATGACGGCGCCCCAGCGGCAGAAGGCGCTGGAGGTCTTTGGATCTGAAGCGAACTCACAGGCGCGGCGCTGAGATCCCGAGGTCGACCCTGGGATGGAAATGGCAGACATATCTCAATATGCATGGGTTTGACTGAACATTAACATGGATTTGCTGGGTTTGTTTGGATTGATGTGAAGTACCGTGTTTTGCTTGGTCTCGCTGCGTTCTTCCTGCTCACCATCTTCCGACCGATGTCATGTTTCAATCTGCTTGCATCGGGACTGAGAAGACAACATTTGCGGGTCCTGTGGAAGGGGCGGCTTGACCAAGAGCTGGACTCCCCCAAGAAAGCCTAAGGAACGATCAATGGTCGGGGTTGCTCCCCCCAATTGCCTCCCCTCTCAAGAACCTTATGATGTTTTTCGCGGGTGAAAATATGTTCAGGAAACTGGTTGCTTGTTCATGCTAAACTGTGGCCATGTTGACAAACTGTGTGAGTTTCTGGTGCGGTGCAAGTGTTCTCAACCGAACATGGTGTACCGAACGTATCTGGGCCAGAAGACCTGGGCAACTAGAAGCAAAGCATAGGACCTAGACCCTGTAAAATGATATATGTGGCGGATGCAATGTTCATGATCATGCGATACCCAAAAGGAAGTGTTTGTAATGTTTAGCTACTGTTTTGGTGTCATGATGTCATGTTTTTTGTTGCACGTTGTGCGTGTCATGTTATCCCGTGATACGGAACAGCACACAATTGTTTCAGGGCCTAGCCCAGTCACACATGTTTGTAACATATATACTGTAATACATATTGCTGCAAGCCAGTGCAGCGGTGCAGTGCAGGTGCATCATTGCTCAAGTCTCGGAAACCGCTACGCCAGGAGGCCATTGCGAAGACTCATCAGCCCTGCATCTCTTTGTTTAGATGGTGTGCTTGCATTGGTGGTTCCGGCCTGTTTGAAGAGTCTTAAGCACCGTGTGTGTGTGTGTGTGTGCTGTCACACTTTGTCTCCGGGAATCACTCTCCATTCAAGACAATTTAGTTCACGTTCAATTCATTGCACAGAGCAGTGGCACTGAGCACTCCTTGGCAAACTCAGTGCAACGAAGCTATGCCTTCGAGTGAGGTGCACGGTTTGATTGATGCAGAAACAGGTGTCCTGTTCTCCTCGGCCATTTGCAAGGTTTGCTTCCAGGTTTGAGGTCGGCTTGCACAAATCGGGTAATGCAGTATATAACTACTTCTAAACTGTTACTGTGAATGCACTCTTCAACCACCTTCAAATTATTCTTTTACGCGCCCTTTCTCAAATGTGTGCGTGTGCGTGTGGGTGTGTGTTTGTGTGTGTGGAAGTTGAGTTGGAGACGATAAGAGCTCCCAACCCCCAAGCTCTTCAACACCCTCGTGGTGGAGCATGGGGCGACCTCCTTTCTGCCACATGGCACCGGAGGTCTCCACCGAAGTCAACGCTGCGCCCACGTCCGAGGTGCCTTCGTCACCCACACCGAGCGGCTCATCGCTGCGCCGTCGGTGTCCGCGTCCGTGGCGCCGTCGACGGCCGAGCCGGGCACCACGCCGCTGCCGAGTGACCGAGCGGATCGGGTGGAAGAAGCGGCCGCGGCGCCGGGCGAGGCGGAGCCGGGCTTCGTAGTGGAGCCTGAGCTCTCGCAGCTGAGCAGTTCGCAGCTGAAGAGCGTTCAGGAGTTGAAGGCCTCGGGTTTGGTTGGAAGATGGGAAGAAAGCTTTTGCACAAGATGCTGTTGCCGGACTCTGTTTGGAGAGTGTATGGCATGTATCGCTGCCTTACTGATGTGGGGCGGGTTTTCGCTAGACTCCAAGACGTTAGCACTTGGTACGACCCTTTACAACGGAACCTGGGTCAGCCCATTTTTGAAATCATGCGTTGTTGTTTGGTTGTGACGAATGGGGTCACAAGGATGTACATTCTGTAGAGCCTGAAAATGCCTGAAACATGTACTTTTTCCATGTTGTAGAAACATAATCTTGGCAATCTATATTCCCTTGAATGATGAAATCTTAATTTTGTGGAAACATTGATTTGATGGCATCTTAATTGGTAGGAGCATTAATTAATCATCTTCATGTTGAACAGCTCATTTTCTTTAACCCCTCCAAACCCCCCACCCAAAACCCGCCCCTTCCTTCTTTCAGCGCGTGTGTGCTTGCAGCATCATCTTGGAGAAACACTTCCCAAACGAAAGTCTCACGCGAAACCGATGCGAAGTCCTCACGTCCCATCACTTTCATTTGTTCTGGTGTGCACCGGGTCTCGCGACTTGGCACCTAGCATTCAATTCGACCCAAACCCATGCAAACTCATGCAACCTTTGTCGTTTGTTATTCTTGTTCGCGCCCAGTGCCAGAAACTGCCCCATGTGGGGAGCATCATGTAGGGCATCCAGTGCAAGAATTCAAAGCCAGAATTGGCAGACTGTCTTTTGATTTTTCTCATGTCTTTGACACTTTGACGGGTGAAACGAAATTATAACTTTCTCTTCATGAGAATCTTCATTTGAAGTTTGCTTCTGGGCAATCAAGGGGGTACCCTTTAGAAGCTTTGCCTTGGACATGTTCGTCGAACATCATGTGTTTTGGAAGGTGCCAGGGGAATCATGAGGAATCTGTTCAGCCCGCGACATTCAATTGGTAGTCACTCCAGCGGGGGCCAGTCAGATTGTAGTGAACCATAGGGATTTGTCCAACGCTTAGACCTAAGAAAAGAACATTGCAAGAAACTTAGTTACTACAAAACGTGTTTTTGAGCATTCCAGGTGGAAGAATTCAAAGCCAGAGCTAGGAGACCGTCTTTTGACGGTTTATAGCTCCTGAAAAATGACTGACAAACTGTGTATACTTATACAATTTCATATATATTATATAAATGTGTATTTACTCATATATTAGTTACCTTTTAGTATTTTTGCAAAGCAAGGGGATACCGCTTTGGAAGCTGCCCCCAATGTAGGGCATAGCACTGCTATGCAACTTGTTCTCCCAAGAACTTGGGGTGATGCTTTGCGTGACAGCTTCTGTGTTTCAAGACAGCGACATGCAGTGGTAGCGAAAGACTCGAGACAAGGAGTGGGGGGGGGGTTCGGACACGGCGTTTGATCCCGATCAGGCACGCCGTTCGGTTACTTTGATAGGTCATTTGGTAGGCGGCTGACGCCCAGCACTGGTCCGGACCGGTCAGACCCGGTCAATCCGCCTCCTCAATTCGCCCCTTGACCCTGAGGTGCTGAAGCCGGGAGTGGGGATGGTCGTTTTTCACGGCACCACGGATTGCACGGATCTGGATGTGGCGCGAGATATCGTCTTGAAGCGGGGCTATGTTCTCGTTTATCCAGATCAGTGGCTCGCCTTGAAGGTTCGCCAGGCTGAGGTGATGGCCTTTTCCAAGGTCTGACTTGGTGAGTGTTGGAGGCAGGCAAGGCCAAGTCCATTTCACGGGAGATCCCCGGTATGTTTTTGTTGCAGTATGTTTGGATGTCACTACGCCCATGGGGTGGTTGGCACATGTCCGAAACGGTCTAGACCACATCTTGTTCTGTCTCGAATGATGACTTGGGCCTCCAATTGGCAGTGGGTCCGACAGATGATGGGCAAACTATTGCAGGCTAATCAAAATCAGTGTTGAAAGTCCGGCTATTCCTAGGACAGCTCATATCCCAACAACTTCTTCTGATGGTCGAAACAACGACCATGGTCAGTCTGGTCAGCCTGCTTCAGAGTCTAATCCCCCTAAAGCTGCATCCCTGCTTGGTCGCCAGCTGCGCGCCTTGAAGACGACCCACCTGCGCTCTTCAGGAAGAAGAAACCTCCACCTGGACATGGCCTCAACAAACATGCCACTGTGACGATGTATCAATGCTTCCCACCTGGTGAGCCCTTGCGGGCACTCAGCGAGGAGGCGGTGGCTGAGTATAAAGACAAGATCCGGCGAATGACCGAGGAGAATAGCGCATGCACCTTTATTGACTATGACTGCCAGACAGGTGTTTGGAAATTCGAGGTTGAGCGCTTCTGAATCATTGTGATGATTTTTACCCAAACTCGTCACTAGTTCAACTCGGAGGCCAAGACGTAGCGTTGGTTTGAGTTGTTCGAGGAGCCTCCCAGTTGTAGGAAACGCTCATGCCGTTGAAGAAAGCTGGTTGGAGAAGGTCGCTCAGACACCTTGTTATGGCCAATTCACCGATACAAACGCTTGTCAATAGCGGGTTGAGTAGAATTCCAAGCAGGGCTCCCCCCAAGAACTGCTCGAATTTGTTCCTGCTTCATTATCCTCAATTTGCCCTTGACAAGAAGCTCTCGGTGGGATTCGGACGAAAGTGTCCTCCAGCGGCCGGATATGGAGATCCTTTTAGCCAACGACCGGACCAAACAGTCGGAAAGGCCTCGCGGGACCGTTTCGGATCCAAAGGACGCCCTGCTGGAGTCTGTCCACGAATGTTGGATTTCTTATGATTTTTGAGACATTTGCATTGGAAGAACAGGCATCCGCCGCCCTCCGGCGTCCCACGTAGACACCGTCCCTGTTTGTTCCACTGCGATCGAAACCGAATGCGATCCAAATGCGATCGACCTCAACGGGATACCCACCCTTCGAAGTACACCCTGGCTCTTGGAAGCGTATTGGCTTGGTCTCTTAGCAATTTTTATTGGTCCATGAAGCGTATTGGTCACTTGATGTTTCATTTTTCATTTGGCAGACATCATTAATTCCGCGGTTGAACACCCAGCTGTGGACGTTGAGACACTCTGTGGGCGATCTACACGACCACATGCACTTCGCTTTGGTGTCGAAACGACGAGCGTCCTTGTCCGGCGACGGGTGTGATGCTCGATTCGGAGGCTCAAGGCTCGGAGGAATCGTAGACAGGCCGTAGCGGTAGCGCCGTAGACTACCCAAAAAAATATGGGCATACTATGGCGTAGTTATACAGTCTGAGATGTCTAGGAATGGGCTTTTGTTGCACTAATTGCTGGCAGCCTTCGGTAGATCATGAGCAGGGGCTTGCCAGAGACTGCCAAATCATTTTGCCCAATTGGGGCGTATTTGGGGTCTTGTGTGAAACATCAAGCAGACATCGAACGAAGTGGTGCACTTCACTTGCAGAACTTAGCTGCATTCAGGGATACATCCTCCATGTCATGTAATATACACCTACGACATACTACAACGCTCATCCCCTCCCGGACCGCCACCTGAATGGCGGTTCCATGCCACTACCATGTGGCCATGCCTCCCACACCGGCAGGAGCACCAGGCCGGCAAATCCTGTGCCTTGCCGAGGGCCCCTTGCTCCCCCCGACCGGAGGCCGCTGGTCGCTGACGCCACGGCCCACGCCCACGCTTTCTCCGCGCGGTTCACCGGTGCCACCGCTGCAGTTCACGCCCAGACGTGCCAGCGTCCTTCTTCCGAGCAAGATGGTGTCAACTCAGCCCCTCACTCGGGGTCCCTGGTTTCCACCATCTTCCCCTCCGACACAGCCGGCCGGGTCACCTGTGCCAGCACCTGTGCCAGCACCTGCAGCACCACCTGTGGCAGCACCTGTGGCACCAGCTGTGGCACCACCTGTGGCAGCACCTGTGGCACCACCTGTGGCACCGCCTGTGGCACCTGTGCCGTTGTGTTTGGAACGTGAAGACTCCCTCGCCCAGCAACTGCGACTGCTTTCAGAGGCCAAGTCCATCGCAGCCAACGAGCTGCTGCAGAGCGAGAAGCGCCTGGCCGAGCGAAAAGCGCAGCTCCGGCACGAGACCTTCCGAGCCGTTCAGGCCGCTGCACCGAGACCGGGTGGGAGATGATTTCACCAAAGTGGGGGGGGACACATTAGGGAATCATGTACTTTTTGACTCCGAAATCATGTCCAAACGTGTCCAAACTTCCGACATGGTGCAGAAGGGAACTGAAGGAATCACATGGTCGATCCAGCGCCTTTGACAATTTTGACATATCATCCATGTTCATTGCAACTGGAGCCTCGTTCATTGCTAATTATTTGGGGATTTGTTGTTGTTGTTGCTGGACCCTCTCGCTGTGGTGCAATGTGCAGCCCTGACAACAGGCAGAACTAGCAAAAGGGTAAGAGCTGGAGTCAGAAAGAACCTGGTACTTTCAGCAAAGTTGTACTTGGTCGGGGTCCCTTACACAACACAACTTACAATACTCACACCCTTAGAGAGTCATGCAAGGCTCATTGAAAGGAGAGGAGCTTTTCCAGTCTCCCCAAGCATCAGCAAGATGGATGCCGCGATGGCTACAGCGATGGACTCATGGACAAGTGTTCGTTCGAAAAGCATCTTCATGCCATTGGTCTCCATTTCTCCATTTTCTTTACATGGAACCTTCTGGCCCAGCGCTCAGGCCAGTGGCTTGAGCGAGGCCCTCAAGCGTTGGCCCGAGCCGAGATCGGAGACGGAGCGACCGGAGACCCCACCGAGACCGGAGACCGAGACCGCGGATGTGGCGGAGCAGACCTGGACCAGACACTTGGGAGGGAAGATGAGGGAGGGAAGTGAACCTTTAGGAAGTTGGAGAGGCTGTTGGAACTGGATAGGCGATGATAGGCGTACATATGGGGTACATGGGGGCAACCTGTATCTCATGGACACTTGAGTCGCAGAAGTCATGACACCATCGCTCCTGCGATGCCAGATGGCCAGTCTTCCACCCCGTGGTGTGCACAAACCGCTCCTGAGTTCCAATCAGCTGGGTTCGCAACCAAGGCTCCGTTCCCTTGGAGAGCAGCTACGTTCCACCGGAGGAGACTGAGGAACTACCTGCCGTCTCGGCCAGCATCCCGACCATCCCACCAGTGAGGCTCCTGAAAGCCCCCGCCGAGCCGGAGCCCGAGGAGGTCGTCGCTGGTCCAGCGCCCCAAGTGGAAGAGGTACGGGAAAGGCCGGGCAGAAGAGATGCATGGTGGATCTCCCAGTTCGGTCCATCGTTCAGTTTAAAGGTCTTGGGATGTCTTGGGACGTCCATCGTTCGGTTTGAGCGCAAGGGTGCCCATGATCCACTCCCAATTCTAAGAGCCACCCGTGTGGACATGTTCGGACTGCTTATGAAGACTTTTGCATGACAGGTAACTCATAGGTGATGGTACTCATAGCCGCTAGCCCCCAGATGTTTGGCAGCCATCCGACCCTCTAACAAGAAGCTAAGTTGGAGGCCATCGCTCTTAGGTTGGAGGCCATTGCTACTAGTAGCAAAAAGCTATTAGTATAGCATCTAGTAGCAAGGTTCATTGTTCTTCTATGCTGCCATGTGAAGTTTTGCGGGGCCGCAGCGGCACGCCAGGTCGCCGGCACCGCAGCGGCCGCCCCTCCTGAAGGCGTCTTCCAGTCCTCGGAACAGTCGAATCTCTCCGCGGCGACGGGGGATGATCTCTGGATCTTTGCTGGAGGACTCGGGTGAGAGAAATAAAACTCGTGACTCATCACATCTCTCATGACTCTCAGTACATATATATATAGTATTTATAATTTAACATAAAGCTCGTTCTTTATATATCAAAAGGTCGAGAAAATTACGTTTAAAGAAATACATGAATTGAGATATTTATTCACATTCATTTGGGCAGGTCATGCGTGGATATTGTACTCTTCTTGCCCTGCCTGTTGCATAAGAGCGAATGATTATTTGCCTGGTAATGGAGGTCATTCAACAATTTGAAGCACCGACATGTGCCTGCAAAGGAAGCTCGCCGTTGTAGCAACGCCCTCAACAAGATTGCATCACACGTGTCCAGCAGAAATCTGCGGGAATTGCGGAAGATGCAGCAGCATCCACCGCAGGCGTTGTGCCGAGGGGCCAGCTGAGTGAAGGTGAAGCGAACCTGCCAGCAGATAGATTGGGGGTACTTGAGTAATGTAGTCCAAATGCTGCTTGACAGGCTGTGGGAAGGGCACGAAGGGAACCACATCTTAATCAGAGCACCAGCTTGAGGCCACAACTGGTGAACACACTCCCTCGTATATCCTCGAATCCTCGTACATTCGATTCTCGAATCAAATCCTTCAGTTTGGTGTTCATGTTTTGGTGGTGAGTTGTCCATGTCCCTTTTGGATCCTTTTGGGGATGAGGAATTGTTATGAATTGTTCATTTTCCTTTTCCGGCTCGAGGGGTGCAAGTATGCACCCGGGAGGTATTGAAAATCATTGAAGCTGTGGCCGTCCTGCTGGGAGACACTGATGGTACAGCTGTGCCTTGACATGTCGTTGTGGACACGCCTGCACCGGGGTTTACATAGCGACCCCGACCCTCCCCTGATTAGGAAAATTGAAGAGTTGTTTGTGTTTTTGTTCCTTGCTTTTGGGTGATGTATAGGGGGAAAGAATGCCCGCTTATTAGGTCAGATTCTTGGCATTTGTGAGTGCGAGGTGAACGTGCAAGAAGTGCTCACAGACTCCCTTCCTCAGAAGCTTGCCAGCTTTGATCCTGGGAGCATCACTGCATCACAACGATCGAAGGTCAAGAGCCTGCTGAAATTGCCAGATGTTCAACCAGATGCTGTTGCGTGCCGGCCTGATAAAGGCTAACTTTGTGTGTATTTTCATGTTCCCCTTTAGGCGTGCAATTCCCAAATAGTAATTTTAGGAATGAACCGCTATCAGACTGATTGAGGCCAGCATTTGCCATCACTGCGCTTCATTGTCCCAGTGGTGTGAGTGTGTCATGGCCTTCCTTCGAGCAGACCTGGCAGAGGAGGAGGCCAGATCAGCTGCTCGAAGGTCCGCCAGGAGGTCGGAAAAGCAGGACCGGTCTTGGGGCGAGGCGGGCTGTTTGTGCTAGTTGGATTCTTTTGGGCATGAGTGGGTATCTTCAATTTAAGGCACCCCACTGGGGTGATTCTGCCAGTGCCACAGTGAAAACCATATTAGCATCGATTCTTCTTCTCGGGGTGGCATTCAGGCAAAGTTACAGGTGTTAAGACCCCTTTGATGTGTGTTCGCCAGGTGTTCGCCTTCCAATCCCCTATATAATCGTTAAATGGCACTAAACCATCAAATGTTCTGCGCTCGCCACCGGCTTGAGGACAAGAAGCCACCGGAACCAAACACTGCAGAGAAGACCGAACCGAACAGTGAGCCACTTGGCGTTTGGTCGTGCACGACCCGTTGCGGTCCGGCACGACGGTGCCGAATGGGTGCCGCCACATGCGCATAATAACCTCACATCCAGCACTACAGGGAGGTGACCTAAACCGATGTGGGTATATGTGGGTTAAGTCTCAGATCTCAACAAACACTGTGGAAGTCTGCAGACGGAGTCGATCTAAGAGGTGTTTCTTTTTGTTCTTTTAATTCGTCGTGTTTAGTCCCAGGCATATGAGAGTCGGAAGCCGGGCCCAACACATTGAAAGGGATTTGAAGTTCATATAAAAATGTAGTTAAAAAATGCATATGAATGTCATTATATGATGAGTTAAGATACATAAATATAATCAGTCCTTTATTACATCATATAAATACATATACATAACGTTATGTGATGTTAGCTGTGCTGGGGGGAACTTTGGTTGGTCCTAGCACCGCATCCAGGTCTCAGACACAGGTGACCCTACACGCACAGGTGTCTCGCGTGCCAGCCACCGTGCATGCCATTTTAACAGATCCAAGTTGCCGGACTGTAGACCACTGGTTGACACATGCAGACATGATGCCCTGGCCTGGTGTGTTCATTGTGGTTCCGAGATTTTGCTGGCCTGGTGTGTTCATTGTGGTTCCGAGATTTTGGCACGTGTTCACTCACAAGAGTCTGGAGAAGATGAAGACTCTTCGCACACATCCAAGTCATCCAAGTCTTCGGAAAATCAGACTCATCGCTCAGGCCCCAACTGGTCACGTTTCCGGACTTGTCCCAGCTGAGCGCTGCTGAATTGAAATCGGTTCGAGAGCTGACGGAGTCTTGGAAGGAGAAACCGGACAGGGAAGGGGAAAGAAGTAGCCTCTATAGCATCCTTCCCCTATAGCAATCCAAGTGCCTTCTCAGAAGGTACTTGCCCTGCAAACCCACATAACAGTGTCTCCAATCACCTTCTGAGAAGGCACTTGGATTCCCTAGGAGTAGGGTTCCTAATCAGTCCTCAGGTAGCTGGGGCGTCCTTGACCGGTGGGCCAATTCCCGGTGAACCACGGCCCTGGGGCCCAGAGCGGCCAACATGGGAGCCTGACCGAGTCTTGAGGGACTGTCACTGTGACCTGGAGTTAGAGAAACGAAGCAGCGCAAATGGCAAATGATGGATGCAAGATATCATGATCATTGGTCCATATTGGTGTTTTAATCGTGCATGATCCGTAGAAGATGCATGATCATGATGGAATTGGCCTCCAAGGTGGTCAGATCATGCAAGAAACCAGACTACAAGAAACCTATAAAGAACATTAAAGAAACTCATCAGCTCCTTCCCATTCACTTCCGTCCGAGCCGGCCCCGGCTCCTTTCGCTCGTTGCGCTCGTTTCAGGTGTCGCGCCCCGACGTGGGCTCGGTGATCTTCCATGGGCTGACCGACTGCAGCGACCTGCAGGCGAACGGGGTCTGTTCGACCCACCGAGGCGTTGGTCCGTTCGAGCCACCGGTGGCCCGGCTGTTGGGGAAAAAGCCGTACAAGCTGTTGAAGGTCTCTACACGGAAGCCCGTGGGTGCCCACAAAGCACCTCCAGGCTTTTGTAGTTTGAAGTTGCCAGAATGAAAGAATCAGCATCGTCATTCGTCAGCTGCTGGTCCTTGTTATGTGCTAGGCCCCAGTTGAACCCACACGACTCACTTCATCAATCACGAACTCGCCAGTATAGCTAGATAGGACAAGGGTCAAACGTGTAGGCTTTGCCTGGCAGGTGGGTCATGCCTTACTCTATCTTATTCTCAGAGGTACAACTGTACGGTACAACCCACTTGCCATTTTTGATCATTTTTGTATAATGACCACTACTGAACGGACCATTCAGGAAGTTTAGGATTATTTATCCAGTTGGTAGGTGAAAAAACAATCAAAACCCTATTTACACCGGCGATGTGGGATCATCACCGCACCGGCCAGGTCGAAAGGGATATTGTGCTGCAGAAGGGCTTCATTTTGGTCTACCCGGACCCCGTGAAGAAGCCTAGACGATTTGGATGGTGTGTGTGTGTGTGTGATCTGTGTGTTTCTTGAATGAGGATGGTGGGGTATGGGTTTTAGATGGTTTTGGTTGAGGAGCTTATTCTTTTATCATGGGTAGTCCATGGGAAACATTGTGTCAACTGCTTCATGTGTTCGGGAATCGGGCCACCTGCTTGTAGATTTATAGACGTTGGGCCCCTCCTTTTTACCTGTAACAGTCGTTCAACAACTATGACCCTATTAGAGCAAGGTCTTGTTTAACCATCATCATTCACTGCTACAGGGAATAGAAGACAGAAGAAAGCCAATACCCAGACGCTCCATGTCTGCCATATATGCCTACATTGGGGTGGTGCCAGGGGGTCAATGTAGGCATATATATGATATGATAGACATCGGTCGTGTTTGGGATATAGACATGTAGAAAGGACCTTTCTACTTGTTGGATGCGTTTTTCCTTCCAGACACCAAGAGAGAGAGAGAGAGAGATGGAGACTTGGGCCACGAAGCAAAGTGACGCGAGACAGTGTAGTTCGATACACCAAATGCTGGGGATTGAAATGCAGTGGGGCAAACCCGATGTATTATCGAAGTTGTTTTGGGTGTCCGGTGCTTTGATTGTAACAATCGAAGGATCCCTGAAGGAGTTGTCCACGTCCGTTGTTGATTTGCCCCTCGTTGTCATACCTTTTCTCCTCCTAGAGGCGCTATATATTCTGTATTGTATAACTTTATTGAAGTCAAAACTATGTACCATCTACATCCATCTACTATACATCATAATATCCATATATTTACCTTAAACAAGCTTAACATAAGGATGTGAATCTTTTGGAGTTGCGAACGTGTCCGCTAGGAAGCCGCAGCCGGGATGTGGCTTGAACAAGCCCGCCACGGTGACCATGTACAACTGCTTTCCGCCGGGCGAGCTGTTGATGGAGGATCCCTTGGCTCCTTGGGTGTGAAGAGCGGGTCCGCGGAGCGTCCTTTGGTGACTCAGGTGGTTGAACTGCCAGGGGGGTAATATGAGATCTCTTTCTTGATGGCCCAACCTCTACGCTGGGTTTGGGATCTCCCTAATTAGGCCTTAAGGGTGTGTGTGTGTTCTTGGCATTTAAACATACTTTAAACACCAATGCCATTCCCACATCGAACAGCAACAGCTGTTCTGCCAGATCTTCCCGTCTCAGCTCTTCTCATCGGTAGGGTTAGGGTCGACCCCAAGGTGTCCCCCCAGAGACTGGCTCCGAATGGCTCGGGAATGGCATGAATGGCATGACCGAGTTTCTGCTGGTTGTCTTCAGCCAGCCCGACCCGTGATCGCCGGAACGGCGATGGCCGTGCCGTGCTGGGGGGGGTGCGTTCTGTTCGAGGTCCGAGAGGATTACAAGGAGAAGATCCGGCTCATGACGGAGGAGAACAGGACATGCAAATTTCTGGACTATGACTGCCAAAGGGGCATTTGGCAGTTTGAGGTGAATCGATTTTGAGGTGAATGCGGCCAACCAAAATCAAAGTTCCGCCCGATCGGGCGCCAAAGTTCCGCCCCATCGGCACAGTGCTTGCTGGGCTAGGGTTCTTCGCTCTTTGAACATGTGTACTCTTAGATGCTAACTTTTCTTCCATCCCATATACTTCATAAGTCCCATCGTCACTCTGAATTGTCAAATAGTCCGCATTTGCCACCATCCTTCCCTCTCACTCAACTTCCTCGCCAGGCCACCACCACCCCAGAAAGAAATGAAAGATATGCAAGTATTGCAGAATGTATGAAGTCACCCTTCCAGCTACATTTGCTGATCACGTTGCCAATGACACGATATCATCCCAGCATCAGATTGGGACCTCCGCGTCGCAGATGTCGCGTACCAAAAAGGACGTCGAAGAGTCGAAGAGTCGACTTGGTGTTCTCCAACCTGCAACGATTGGTGTTCTGTTTGGGTGCATGAAGCTGTGTGAGAGTGCGTTTCGCATCCAGCTCGGAGAAAGCACACTGATTGAACGATCAAGCTGATTCCATCCAAGATTCTAGAACCATACTTTCCACTGGGAAAGATAGATCGTCACTCTTCCGGCAGTTGCAAAAATCAGTTGACCATAGAAACCCAGTGGAGTTCCGACCTACCAAGGACTTTTCGGCTCTCGGAAACAAATCTCGGTTGTTTGTTGGGCTGTTATTGTATGTCAAATATACTGTATAGTATTCCGGTGTTTTGGGGAAGGTCTAGCTGAAAAAATCTGCTTGTACAGCTGTTGCTTTGGTGCTGCATATTGCTGCATAGATGGACCTGTTCGACCTATTCAGCTGATCTGTGTCAAGAAAAGATCGCTCACTCTTGTTTGCTTTGGCAGCTTCGTGGTGAGATAAACAGCTTCCTTCGACCGCAGGGTTGGTCTTTCCTCAAGGAGATGCGGACTGCAGCTTGCACGTTGGTGCTTTCATGTGAAAGTGTAGGCGATTGCCTGGGCCCATCATAAAACTGACGACACTTTTGACTCCCACCCGACCTCAAATTCAGGGAAGTCCTATTACTTGTATGTCTACTGCCTCTCCAAAATATTAAGAGCCAACGAAGAGGCGCCATATTGACGTAACAAACCGGTGGTGTGGGCACACTCACTCCCTCGATGGGGTCGCCCATCCCCATGGAGCCCTTGCGCTCGTTGAGTCCACCACGATTGGTCGTGCCGCAGCTGCCACATGCGCCGATGGTGTCCGAAGCGTGGTTGGCCAGTGGGGATGGGTGACTAGTGCAGGCTCTTGATGAGTTATATATATATATATATATTAGATAAGATATAACATATAGTTAAATGATTATATGATCAACAAGACAGTCAGATGGCCAGTACAGGCTTAAAACAGAGGGGAGGGGGCCACCGCAAGGTGCTGTCATAGGTGCCATCTCCCGTTTTTCACTGGATGAACTTGCTGCTTTTGGTGAACCCCTGTGTGCTGGTTGCTCCAAACAACTCGCAACGTGGGAGTTCCCGCTTTGGTTCTCTCGTTGTCTTTCCTCACGGGTTTGCTGGTGATACCTGAGCGTTCACAGTGACACTCTCAGACCGCCCAATGGGGCGGATCTGCGGATTTGGAGTGGGATGGGTAGAAGAGGTTTTACAATATGTCTTATTTTATAGTCACTTAGTCAAGTGCTGTTATCCCGACCCCATCGTCCCTAAAAGGCCACTGGATCAATATCCGCCCCGGTTTGGGGACCAATTCGTGAGAAAGTACCACAGACCAACGGGATGAACACACCTGAAAGCTGTCCCCTGCCGCACGCACGGAGAACTGCCGGAAGGGGGGTTCCCCCGACAACGATCCCATGATCAAGCCACTCAAGCGGTGAGTTTTGGAAGATGAAGACGTGTTTGTGCAAGCAAGGTGGAAATGTGGGTTGCTATGGGATGGGTATGGGCACCTGATTTTTGAAGATTTCTTACGGTCATGAGCTGTGGACTGCCAAGCATACAGCACGGTGCAACAACGAAGAAACTTAAGACGCATGGCCTACCAGGCTGGAAAATCAAGGTTGAACACACACTGAAAAGCAGCGATTGATTCATGAGTCTTTTGAGTGTTGCAATGACTGTCGCCATATGCCCGCTATTTATCGGATGGAAACCATTGTGAATCCAGATTTGGCCCTTACCTAAGGACATCTTCCCCCAGCGACTGGACGTGTCTCCTCGTCGCATTCCAGAGCTCCACCGCTCCATGGAGGTCCTTCCTCCAGGCTCCCCCGTCTCGCGGCACCGCGCCCTGCACGTGCTGGGCTCGCCCCCAGTGGGTGGCGCCTTCATGTCGCCTGTCCGCTTGGCACCGGGGCACTGCTCCGTAGGGCCGATGCGTCCGCCTGAGGCCCACCGGCAGGTCGTGGAGATCAGACCCAGACCTTTGCAACAAGTGTTGCGAGAAGTGCCCCAAGGGCCAATCTTAGCAAACCCATCTCAGTTGACCAATCCACAGCAGCTTCCAACATACCGAGAAGCTCAAAGTGTTCAGAGAAGCCAGATGAGGCCTTTGGTGCCTTGCGACACTTCTGGACGTGCCTACCACGCACCTGTGGCAGCGTTGCCACCGCGTATGGTGCCAGTGCTCCAGTTTCAGCCTGCACACCCAGCACCACTTGCACCAGCACCTCCAGCAGCAGTTGTGCCTCAACGAGCTTCACCACAAGCACCAGATCCTCGTTGCCTGTTGACACCGGCAACCACCCACCGCCAACCTGCGGGCGGTCTGAGCGTTCTGAGCCCCGCGGGCGGTTCGGGAGATCTACAGGTCCGGGTCCAGGAAAGCCCAAGGACGTTCAGTCCACCAAGAGCTCTCAGTCCACCAGCCCTGCCAGTGGCCCTGCCAGTGGCTTCCAGTTCGCCTAGCCCACAGGCGAGTCCCAGAGCGCCCTCGCGAGCTTGCAGCTTGGCGTGCACAAGATAGGTTTGATGTGGCACCAAGGGAGCGCAAGGGAGCGTGAGATGGAAAAGCACCATATCATGTGTTGGTGTGTGTGTGTTGTATACATATGCGTCCACTTGAAGGGTGATGGAAATTCTGCACCGATTGCAGCTCGTTGGCCGTGCCGGAGCCCGCGAAGGTGGTCTGGAGTCTGTTGAACCCTTGCTAGCTGGTCAGTCAGACCCTTGGTCGCTTTTTGGAGGTCAAAGGCTTGTCACAACTGGTGCCGCAAAACGGGGTGGTGGCATAACCAACCATGACTTTGATCAAGTCTTTGATAATCCCCAGACACTCCATGTATGCCATATATGCCTACATTGGGATGGTTTGAGGGGTCAATGTAGGTATATATGGCATACATGGAGTGTTTGGGATCTTTGTTTAATTTTTTGGGGAAAGGTTTCACAAATGTTTCCAATATACATATCACATGCGGGCGTCACCTGGGAGGAACCGATGAAAAAGGACGGCATACAAAGGATTGTTCTGAACTTGGAGTCGAAAAGGATCCTCAGATATATTCAGCTACCCTCAGATCATGATAGTTTCACCTGAAATGAACCCAGAATGATAAATAAATACATGACGAGTTTCACATGTTTCACCACCCCATGAGAACCGGCCTGATCCGTCGGTATTTGCCCAGGTGAGGATTCCTTGGCGAAGCAGCTCCGTGCCTTGCAGGAGGCCAAGGTGGCGGCAGCCGAGACGGTGGCGCAGAGCCACTGGGCTTTGAAGGGGCCGCGGAGTCGGCAGGATGCTCCGCGTCTCCCGGAGCCGGCTGCAGGTTTGGGTGTGGGAGAGTGGGTCAGCTTTTGGGTCTGTCAGAATCGGCGACTGAAGAAGTTGAGGTGAGAAGAGGAGTAAGTACAGCGACTTCAGAGTGGATTGAAGTATCACAAATCCCAAGAGGTAAGGTAGACACATCCTTTTTCCCTTCCCATCCCGCATCTACAGCAGTGGAAGAACTGAGCGCTCAAGAGTTGCAAGAAGTAGAAATAAGAGCCACTCCCCTGCAGATATATAAATTGGAACCCCAAAACCACTGGGTTGTAGAGGAAATGGTCTTCCACCGGTCAATTCTCAGGTCCCATGTTAGTTTGTGGGAGGGTACTAGTTACTAGCCGTTACGAAAAAGCTGAGGTGAACAGGCCCTCCTGGTGCGACGAGGGCAACTGAAGCGAGAAACCTTCAAAGCGCTGCAGCGCCTCGCCGCGGGAAACTTTCTTTTTCTTCTCTCCGGCGGTCGGAAAACTCATTTGACCTCACAATGTGGCTTGCAAACTTTCAAGGCACTCTGGTACACTGGTCAAACTCCAGTTCATCATTCATAGCTCCAGATTCCGACGTTCTGGCTGCCTTGAACCAGTGGTATTTTTTTGTTTCGGCCGTCCCCAGCACCGTCGTCCTTAGGTGTGGCAGTCTCGCAGAGGCCCTGCGGCGCTGGCCCTCGCCCGACGCCGCGCCCGCCATGCCGCCGGAGACGGCGCTGGTGCCCACGCCGGCCCCCGAGCTGGCGAGCGGGCGTGTGGAGCTTCCGGAGGTGGGGTGAGAAGGAAACAGGTGGGATGCAGGAGGGGTTGCAATTGGGATGTGAATTTTCAGGGGGAAGACCAATGGAAAAGCAATGAACAACTACCTGGGGTGGGTGCCCATATGACATGACCAGGAGATCACAGAAGTTTACTTCTTGATTTGTGGGGCCCCGTGCATGCTACTACCTTGCTGTGACCAAAACTAGTAGCCATCGATACGGCTGAAAAGTACCCAGCTGCCCCGGCCTTGAATCCAGGAGGACCAATGCGCGGAGGAGGACTTCGAACTGCCCAACTCCTCATCACCGGTGGAGCTGACTCCTCCCCTAGCTCCGCCTGAGGTGTCCACGGAGGTGAGGGAAGCTGCTGGGGCATAAGAGTGGTTTTTTTCGTCCCAAAGAGATAGAACAGTAGATCACCACTAAACAATGTATTGGAAACCGTGCCACTCTCTATTTGATGACCACTATAATCTATCATAATCTATCAACCCTTGGACCCCACATGTGGATCATGTTTGTTGATCCTTTGCACATGGTGCATTGTTTGATGGTCAGGTGTGTTGTGTAGTTGATTATTGTTTAGAAGTACTGGAGGGTGGTACTGGTGAGCCACTGACGACGAATTGCACTCCAAAACCAAGAGCAGTGCTTGGTGCGGCTGGGTGGTTTGCTCGGTGGTCTGGGGCCCCTGGGCGTCGCAATCCATTTCTGTCTTCATCCTGCTTGACGGTGTTGCTGTCGACCCCTCGGGTTGAACGTTTTGAAGGATGCATGGAGTTAGGTGCTGCTGCCTTGTTTTGATGTATGGAGTTGATTATAGGGTTGATTGCATGGGGTGCGCCCAAAACCCAGTCGTGCCCATTCTCCAATTTTCCATGTGACTTTATAGTATGTGTTTCCTTGTTCATGTTTTCTGGCACTTTTTGAGCACATGATCTTGGGCTAGATCCACACAAGGGGACCGTAGACCAGATGAGGATCTAGTACCCAGACACTCCATGGGACTGCCATAGGACTGCCGCCCCATTGGGGTGGTGCCAGGGGGGTCAATGGGGCGGCATATATGGCAGTCCCATGGAGTGTTTGGGGTATGGGCTTGTTGATTTCCGCTTCCGGACCGAAGCCGCTCGAAAGAGAACCCAGGAAGCTCCCGTCGCCTCCTCGCGGTCTTCACGGAGCCGTGAGCGATTGGTGCAGGAGGTGAGGACCAACACTATAGAGCAGAAAAGCCAGCGATAACAAGATCAAGACCCCCTAAATAGATAGAACCAGAAGAGTAGATCACCACTGAATGATAAGAATGTAAACACCGGGTGCCATGGTCATCTCTTGGGGGACCCGGTTTCCGAAGGCGGTCAACAATTGGAATCTCCATGAGTTGACTTTGGTTGATCCTTTTGGCTTCTAGGCACCACCTCCAACCCTTAAATGGGTTGAACCAGATGACAGAAGCCGAACATGCCCCCGGCGCGGTTCCAGTTCAAAGAAGGCAGAACAAATAGTAGACTGTTCAAAAAGAGGACCGCACAGCCAACGTTTTGAAGATCATGCAGGCATTCTGTAGTGGAACAAGTATTTAGTAAGCAAGACGAAACTAAGAACTGGTTGATGATTGGCACGAATGAAGATATCTATGAAATCTAATGAACCTGAATATGTATATAATATTATTATGATCTATTTTTACATACCCCAAGTGATTGCGGTGTATGTTGTACTATGATTCTTTCTTTGCCTTCAGGAGGCGACTCGATGCTGCAAAGCCCTCGGCCACTTGGTTGAAGACCACACTCGACTCTCGATCGGGTCACGAGCAGGTCACCCAACTACTCCCAAACTGCATGCCATGTGCAGCGGAAGACGATGGACCACGCTGGGCTTTGGGATGCATTTTTGTATGGCCTGATGGACCACGATCTTACTAGTCGTGTAAGATGTACTTGCAAAACGGCCAGGTCGTACCACCAATGGACCGGAGCCAGGCAATAGCCATCGGTCCGACCTCATTTGGGATCAACGACGGGATGAAAGGCGACCGTTTGGGATCACGCCGGACGTTTGATCCGGTGGCGTTCAGGCAAGATCGCGTCCCGGATCTCCAATAAGCATCTCAGAGACCTGCGAAAGCCGCAGAAATCGCTGCCCCCGCAGGTGGGGGGGGCGAAGTGCCGCGTGAGTTTAGAGGTCCAAAGGGTACCTAAACTGCGAGCAAACATTGGTCATGAGGCATGATATGATCCAACATAGTCCTCAAGGATCTAAGGGAACCCCTGTGTTTCTCATGCTTTAGGGTTAGAAATGGATGGTTTGGGCTGTGATGAGACCGGTCAGGTGTTGAAGATCCTTGGGGCGATCGCGCTACTTCTGGGTGAAAAGGACCCGCCGCTGGGAAATGCGGATCAATGCTTTCAGTACAGTTTTGCGCCAGCTGATGGAAGAGATGCATCACCTCAGGCAAACTCTTGATAAAGAGCATAGAAGAGGATGTAAATAAATACCATCCGGTCAAATAAGGATGTCAAATAAGGATATCAAATACTTTCAAGTTCCATCCGGTCTCTCAAATTATGATTAATTATGCTGCATACCCAGCTGGCGCATGTCAAAGCCATGCAACCCGGACTCTCCATGTATTTCAAAATGGCCTTGATGCGTGCATGGAAGATCTATATACTGTACACTGTAATTGTGATACATTGAGCCCGTTTTCAACCTCCAATCAGCAAATATGCCATTTGGCGATCACGCTTGCAGGAGGGAAGGTCGTTTTTGAAGAGGATACTTGCTGATACACTTCCGCAGAGGCTCTCGACCTTGGATCTCCGCTTGAAATTCTGTCAGCTTTGCAACAACGTGTTGTTTTTCTCCTGCCCAGTTTCTTGGTCGGCCAATCCCCCCCAATGATGAGCCCGACCAATATACAGTAGATATAATATTTTGATATTTTCAGTTATTTGATACTGTGGAATTTGGATGGGAGTATTATATATATATATATATGGGAGTGTACGTCAATTCCAACACCAAGTGCACATAAGATCGATATCGTTTGATGACCATGTTGTTCTTTCCGTCCTTCGCCATCAGGGTTTGTCGGGCTGCTGGTTTGCAAGCATAGCCTAGCCCCTATGCCCTCTACCAAGACAGTTCTAGCAGTCTATCAGTTACATGGGAGGTGCATTTTGCACATCCCAGTCTTCTTTGGGCCCCGGCCAGCAGCCACAGGCCACTCAAAAAAGACAAACGATCCCGGTGTGTGGAAAGTCTTTGCTTTCTTTTTTCTCATCTTTGGCTTCACCGGACCAGACATCTTCCGAGGATCCCGCCAGCATCACGGGCGCGCAGCGCGGGAAGCTCCGTGCACTGCTGAGCGCGCCGGATTTGCAGCCGGATGCCGTGGCCAAACTGTGTCCGTCCTGCACCGCACTGGCCCAGTGGTGCGAATGTATCATGTTCCTTGGCCGCGATGATTCGGTCGCGACGAGAGGTGAGAGGTGACGGCCGTCGAAGGCAGTGCTCGTTTGCTTTAAGGGTCTGGGGTGGCATCGTTATAGAGTTACATCATGGTCATAATGGGGTTTACTATTGTTTTAGGATGTGTTATGAACATTATAGTTGATATCAATTGCTCAAGCATCACATGTTCTTAGCTGCATGTCCTGGATGTGTGAAGGTGAAGCTGTGAGGGAGAAAGCTCCCCACCCCAGTCACTCACTGGAGACGTACTGTATTTCGGTGGTATTTGCAGCGTTTTCAGACGTATTTGGAGTGGGTGTGATGATGTGTCACCATGAGCAGTACTCGTTTGTTCTCGGACGGTGGAGGGACTGCGTGTGGAACAAGCTATGGAACCTGCGTGTGGTCAAGAAATGCAAAGGTCAAGCCCCGGGCTGCCCATGCTGAAATCTTGGTGTTGCCACTTAGGATCTTCTTGACACGAACTCAAGCGCTTCAATCTGAAAAGGAGAGGAACGGGATGCGGACAAAACCACACGGGTGCGTACTTAGTGGGCTGTTGGACTCTACTGGCTCTAGTCATGTGCAGTTGATCCATGTCAGGTGCGCCTAGCATGCGTGGCTCACTTCATACTTAGGCGTGTTTGTTTTCACATGTTGCATGGTCACTGGGCTGCAGAGTTTGAGGCACTGATTTGTCACCCCAAGTGATTTCGAAACCGCACTTTCGTTACCATCGTTGCTGTGAAATCCGCTACTTCGCACGCTTGCAGGATGTGAAGTCAGTGTCAGCGGCTGGGCTGTCTCTTACATTCATGTGAGCAGACATGAACACAGAGATTGTTAGACATTCCCTTGAATCCCTTGAAAGGACATGTTCCACTCTTGAGAGGGTGGAATGAAGTCAAAGTTAGAAGTGTGTGTGTGTGTGTGTGGGTGGGTGGGTGGGTGGGTGGGTGGGCGCGCAGTTCTCACTGTTTCACATGGCGGTTTTGATGCCTGCCAGCATGTATACAAAATATATCCTCCATGGAATAAAGCCTATAAAATGGACGTACTCGAGTACCAAAACCCCATGTCATTTTATAGGGGAGGGCTTGCTATAAAATGATGTGTCGACCTGGTAGCTTGTGGCCAGAATCATGTGGGCCGCACATAGATAGAGGTCTGGATGTTTTGACATTTGCTTTTATAGGAGTGAGGTGGTATGAGCCCCGATTTTATAGCAGACCAAGCCTTACAATGATTAGAAGTTGGTTCTTGATCTTATATGAAGAGAGTTGTGGACAAGAAAGCTGAGACTTCATTTTATTGTGGCAGATGTTGGAAGTCAGTTGCATGCAGAATATGTTGGTTTTTTGAGTTTGTACGCCCGGCCTGCCCGCAAGATGCTTTCAATGGTCGAAAAGATGCTTTCAGAAGGTTTCATTATATTCAAACAAAATTAGCAAGAAATGGGTCAGAAATGCCCAGTTGAACCCAAACAACTCACTATAAAATCAATTCCGACCTGGGCAAAATAAAGGTAAAGCTACCTCAAACCTAGATCATATTTTACGTCTTCCTTCTGCATTCGGGCGCCCTAGATGTTGAGACTTGATTTTATAGAGACTTACTGATTCATGTCGAGTCTTCATTTTATAGTGGAGAGATTGCTTGCTGGATGTTGGGGCAGGCCATTTATACCTATAAAATCGCGCTCCCAAGACCTACCGGTAATTCCATCGGGGATCAAAATATACTATATTATCAACTCAACACCAGGCTTTTCCACTTGGCGGAGCTAAGGAGAAATTGGAGTACCCTTCGGAGAATCAGAACGGCAGCCTAAGCAGCCTGGATCATCACTGGCATCAGCTCAAAAAATCCTTGAGGACGGTTCACTTGAAAGAGATATATTATAGATACTTGGTACGTGGAAATGATGTATCAAGTCTCCAACAGACCCATCGAATTGGTTTCTCAAACACGGCCGTGGTGGAACTCTGCCTTTCTGGTTCGCCTGTCCAAGGTAAAAGCAGCACCGAGTCCAGGTTGATTGTTGAGCCTGACCTGTCGCGATTGGATCAAGATGAACTGAAAACGGTACCTCGGCTGCGACCGACCTTCTCGACACGGTCGTTGTTCGTTGTTCGTACACAGGAGAACCACCGGAAAAGAGTTTGATCAGTTTGATCAATGTTTTTTGTTCATTCTGCAAGACTGGTTTGAGGCTGCATGAGCCTAGCTAAAGAATCTAAAGTTGTCTATTTTTAGATTGCACTACCGTACAGACTTGGTTCACCACGGTGTGTTTGTGCAAGGGGTTGATTGGATATTTACTCACCAGACTCAGACATCTCTGCTCCTTTCCAAACTTGGTACAATGCATCGCATCAAACGGAATTATGATCCGGGGCATGCGGAATTTTCATGATTCGGTCTGAACCGGATGAACTTTTCTCTGGGGAAAAGAAAGTGGTGCCCAGGGCATTACAACTTTCGGAATGGATGGTCAGTTTCTGTTGATGATCAGTTGTAGGCTGCTGGCTAGACCATACGGCTGAGTGAAACAGCACCAAGCCGTATGGTCAGTGGCTTTGGGCCGTTGGGGCGCTTTGCTTTGTGGTGCGAGGTGCGACTTTCTCCAACCAACGAACACGGCACCGATGCACGAGCCTCAGGTGCACGAGCTCACCGTCACCAAGCCTCACATCGGATCGGTGGCGGCTCGGCGTCCAGGGAGAACCGGTGTTTCCGCCGGTTCGCGGTTCGTCAAGCCGTCGCTCAGGTGTTTTGATTCTGAATCGGACCGTTCTTTTGTAAGTAATTGTTGGTTTTGAGAGGTTTTGCGTGCCAGATGTGTTTTGTTCAATGCCATGTGTTTTTCACCTACCGTACGTTGTCGATACTAGATATATACCTATGGCATTGAGATGTTTTGGAGGTCATACTTGGTGGGTTTGGCATTGACGTGAGGGTGGGCAAAATGTCTAAAGCCATCACGCACACATACAATTGCCGCACCTGCTCCGAGCCTCCGAGCGAGTACTGGAAAGAACATCTATCACAGTCAGGGTGCACCGTCCCAGAAAGCAAATGTTTCTTGCGAGGGGGGGGTGGCAGCAGACTTTTGGAGAGAGAGATAGGGAGAGAGAGAGGTGGAAAGATACTGTTACTGACACAGAGAGAGAGAGAGAGAGAGAGAAAGAAAGAAAGAAAGAGGGAGAGGAAGAGAGGGGAGGGAGAAGAGATAGGACAAACACATGTTGCCACAATCTCATGTTGGAAGATCTGAATGATTGCTAACCACAACATGAGATACACATGAGTGTTATATGATATGTTTTTAAAGCTTTATAAACTGTAGTATAGACTTCATGTTGAGACGCCTGAGCCAATACCCCATGTGCATGTGAGAAGTCACATGTGAGGCGTGACCATGTGCAACATCCATGTTGGAATGTTTGAGCAAACATGACATACACCCGGGAAGATTCACGTGGAACCTGAGTCAGTGGACCAGACTGGAAGACCACGTTCCTCCACAAGCACTCGTGGTTTTGGGGTTCCATGGGATCGTTTTCCAGGGTGTATGGCATTGTCCCTTCCTCCCATGTTGCTTGTCCGTTCCTCCCATTTGATTCAACAACTCCAAGACAAACTCCCTCTCACTTTCTGTATATAGGCTATTGGTCATGGGGCGGTCTCCTCTGTATACATAATGGATTAAATAGGCTGTGCGTTCTCGTTGTTTGTCATGCCAGGTCTTTCATGGCATCACGGATTGCAGCAACCTAGACCCACACAAGGACATCGTGCTGAAGCGGGGCTATGCCCCTTGGAGTCCAACCATCGTCACCGTGACATGGGAGGGCGCATGGCAACGAGCAAATCTATCCAATGCACCAAGATGTTTGAATTATATATGTAAGAAGCTGTCGTAGCCCTGGCGTTCCCGTTCTAGATTTAGATGGTTCACGTCAACGTTGGCTCTATTTGGTCTGGCTGCTCTTGACGTTTGCAGTCATCGCCCCACCCGCCCTACGCCGCAGACTTTGGATGAGTGCGAAGGCTCCCAACTTGAACTCCAGAGATGATAAGACGTGAGCTGCTCAAATGTGGGGCAGTTGGAATCCCAGGTCCTCGTGTACCCAGATGCCAAGAACAAGCCTCCTCCGGGTGAGGGCTTGAACAAGCCCGCCACCGTGACCATGCACCTTGGAAAGGGAAATTGGAAGTGGCCCATTGAAACAGAAGCCTATGTGCTCAGTCTGAAGCATTATTATGTCTTCTATTTTGTTCTCTCCTGGTGCCCATACGGGGAGAACTTAAGAAGCCACAGTTCAACAGATCCGCTTTCCACGGCATGTGTTGAGGGAGGCGGCAACACGATTTCCAGAAGTGAGCATCAAATCTGACCATGGGCCTTAGAAGATCTCCTTTTTAATTGCTTAAAAGAATGCCAACACAGAAAAGGAAGAGTTGTGACCATCTCCACCTCACTACTTGTAGGAATTGTCACAATCATACCTGCTCAAGACTCAGTTCTGAATGTCTGAATCATTCTCCACCACTCTTCCAGTGAACCTGGAAGTGGATCCTGGGAGGAGCTGACGCCAATCCTCTCCCGGCTGCATGCACCTTTGGGATACGGTTTGAAGGGTCGAAGAGTCATGAACGGTCTAACCACCCTAACCACCTAACCAGCACCTTCTAGGGATCCCGGGTGGGTCTCTAGTGACTTCTTGGTCGGATGTGAGTCGGATGTGTGTAAAGAGGCCGTTCCACCACGTCACCGGCGGAGGGTCGGATGGCCAGGTATGAGTGCTTCCCACCTGGCGTGGCGATCGGCGAACACGAGGCCGATCATTACAAGGAGGGGCACACGAGTTCGAGGGCGCCCTGGGGAGGATGAAGGTGAAGCGGATTGCAAGAGAAACCACGGCTCATTGTTGCGGATGGCCAGATCCTTGATGAAACCACTCGGTGCTTTACAAGTCAAGTACCCACGTACAGACCCAGAGCTTCTTCACATTTTGTTGAGAGTTCCGTGAGGGGAAGATCCGGAAAATGACCGAGGAGAATGGTGCATGCAAGTTTATCGACTATGACTGCCAGACGCTCACATCACATGCTTTGATCCCACTTCCCAGACCAGAATCTTAACCAACATCATCATCATCATCATCATCATCATCATCATCATCATCATCATCA